ATCAGAAAGCATGAAGAGCTTGATCTGAGAGCATTGCTTGATCAGAAAACATATAGAGCTTGATGTGAGAGCATGACTCGATTAAAAAGAATGGAGAGCTTGATGTGAGAGTATTACTCAATTAGAAAGCATGAAGAGCTTGGTGTGAGAGCATGGCTTGATTAGAAAGCATTGAAGGCTTGATTTGAGAGCATGACTCGATCAGGAAGTATGGCTCGATCAAAAAGCATGGAAAGCTTGATCTGAGAACATAACTCAATCAGAAAGCGTAGAGAGCTTGATCTAAGAGCATGAATCTATAAGAAAGCATGAAGAGTTTGATCTAAGAGCCTGGCTCGATTAGAAAGCATGTAGAGCTTGATCTGAGAGCATTGCTCTATTAGAAAGCATGAAGAGCTTGATCTGAGAGCATGACTTGATCAGAAAGCATAGGGAGCTTAATCTGAGAGCATGGCTCGACCAAAAAGCATGGAGAGCTTGATCTGAGGGCATTGCTCTATCAGAAAGCATGAAGAGCTTGATCTGATAGCATTTCTTGATCAGAAAGTATGGGGAGCTTGATTTGAGAGCATAGCTCAATTAGAAAGCATGAAAAGCTTGATCTGAAAGCATTGCTCGATCAGAAAGCTTGGAGAGTTTGATTTGAGAGCATAACTCGATTAGAATGCATGGACAGCTTGATTTGAGAGCATTGCTTGATCAAAAAGATCAGAGAGCTTGATCTGAGAGCATTGTTCGATCAGAAAACATGAAAAGCTTGATCTGAGGGCATTGCTCGATCAGAAAGCTTAGAGAGCTTGGGAGCTTTAGAGCTAGAGGGCTAGAGAGCTAGCGAGCTCTTTCTAATTTGAGAGATTTTAGCATGTGATCTGAGCGATTTGGCCACGTGATCTGAAGCTGAAGATTAGAGTGATCTAAGCGCGCAATTTGAGCGATCTGGCCACGCGATCTGAAAACTCTGATTTGGAACATGATTTAGTATTTTAATGATAACTTGAGCTGTAGACCTTATATTTTGATGATTCTTAGACCGTCAGAAAGCTAACTTGAAGGGCTACAATTCTTGTGTTTATCACTTAGCCAGATTCAAACTTTATCCTACTCATATTTTCACATTTGATGACGTGATTCTAGATTAAGAATCCTAAACCCAAAAATTGATATATTTGGTCGTAATTTATGAAGTTTGGTAGTAAAAAACACTAGGACGTTCAGTGAGAGATATGGGATGAGATCTGTTCGTTGTTTCTAATATGATTTAATTTCATGTTACTAATATGACCGTATTTGCATTGGAATAACTTATGTTTTCCTTTGGATTGTTTAACTCTAGCTTGTTTTGAGCTGAATCCAACGTTTAATTCTCTTAAGACAGTGGTTTACTGATGGTTTTACTTCTGGTTTCTTTTATTTATTTATTTGTTTTATGCAGAAAATGTTATCTAATTTGGACAAACTGGTTTCTTGTGATCGGCCGGCTGATTGCATTTTGTGGTGAGCCAACTGTTTGCTTTTTTTTATTTATTCATAATAATGATATGATACTTATCACAAGTGTCATTGTAAAATTGGTGGATTGACTCTATTGAACCTTCTTTTTCTTTTTTTTTTTTTTAGTTTATGGAGGTTTCACGATTCTCCAGTTAAACTTTGACTGCATGATTATAATCTATTCTGTAGTAACTCATTGCAAATAATGGAAACAACCACTGGTGTTAAGGTGTCAGAACCAGTGGCTTCGTGAAAAGCATATGGATCATTCTTACTTGTTCAATTGTGTGCAGTTTATGTTCTGAAGTAAACTGGGATTTGTTAATCTATTTTGGACTGTGGTCATATAATTTTTTTTTTTGGTTCATTTTTGCAATCAAGATTCTGTGTTTAGGATGCAATTGATGATCTTATTTGGTGTTTTGTATAGGGTAGGACTGTTGGCATTTCACCAGGCATTAATCAGTAACCCCCAAGATGCTTTTGAGATCTGGGTTTTTGCTTCTGTTCTGTATAATGGAAAATGGGAGGAAGGTGTTAAATTTGCAAGCGAACATGCAAAAGATCAAGGTAATTTTGCTCTTGAGATCTCTGGGTTTTCTGAGATTGAATCAGATGAAGAACTTGCAGCAAAAGTTACTGAGTTGGCATCTTTAGTTCGAGACTGTGTCAATGGTTTGACTTTTAATGATACACACTCTTACATGGTAAGTGCATTTAAATTTGGTGTAATATATATTGCTGATAACTTCATTGACTTTGCATTGTATAACAATTTTCTGACAAATAGTACTTCGTCCAGCATATTTGTATTCATCTGAATCTAGTATCAGATGATGCCTCGTATCACTTTCGAATTAATAGTCACTGTTGAGCAGAATACCTGATTTTCCAACTAAATACCCCAGTGTGCCTTATTTTCTTTAGTAGCATAGTAAGACAAAATCATCAAGCATATGTGTGATCATCCTTCTCTTCCATATTTCATGGTAATGCCTTTACATAGACAGGCATGTTATGTTACAAATTGTGTAAGCACAAGTGTGAATGTTTGCTGTGTGAAAAAAACTATATACAGAGATTAATGGGGTCATATTTGAAGGCAAAATGACTATTTGGTGTACTATAGTGCAGACCAGACTTAAGTCTATTCTTACTTACCTAGCCTCAAACTTGAGTTTAAACTTTTCTCATCTAGTATTCTGCAATATGGACTAGATAAGCATGCTAATAACTGAGACTTAGGGCAACTTAAGTAGTTCTTCTTTTTCCATTTTGGTAGTTAACATGATAGAAAGTTTTAGCATTGCAGCCGTGGTTGTAATTCTGTGACAACCAATTGACTATGTCTGTGTGTACTGTATACGTTTTTTTCTTTATTTATGTTTGCTTTGGAATAAATACCCATAAATTACTCGTGTAGTTTAGATATTTGTTTAAGAACAAAAACATGTGGTGATCCAGGCGTTTGTTTCAAAGAAAATTGGGGAAGGTGCTGGTCAAATTTTTGATGTACTAGTGAATTCTATTGAATCTTGCAACAAAGGAAGAAACAGTTTCATGATTGACTATCACTTACTTGGAAAGGGATATATACCTGAGACGAGATTTGTTCTTGGCAAAATTATTTTAAAAACCATTAGTGTTGGGCTTGTTGGAGGAGAGAGGGAGGTTGATGGGGAGAAGAAAATTAAGTCACTGTTGGACTCAGTTGAGGAAAGTTGCCACCCGAGGCCCTGTGATTTGACAGAGAATGAATTTGTGAGCAAGAAAAATAGAAAGCATAGTCTAACAATTCCTGACTCGGAATCAAATCTAGAGAGAACCAAAAAGCAGAAGTTATCTGGGAAGGAACGCAGGCTTTCTCAGCAGAAGCTAAATATGAACAAGCAGGACAAGGTTTCAAAAGAGGACAGCCACCAGAAAGGTAAGGAACTCCAGAATTTGGTTGAGACTTGCCTATTAGCTGAAGAAGAAACAAAGATGACACAAGAAAACATATCAGAGAAGAAAGATTGCCATTCATCATTAGAGGAAGTGATCTCTAGGAGGATCAATAGACACAAAATATAGTTAAGGAGAAGAACAGCAGTCGGCCTCCACTGTCTAGTCTCTCCAGAAAGAAGTAACTGCATTTGTTTTTTGTACAGTATATGTTAGACTCCTTGACACAGTTTTACCTCATAATTGACAACTGACTGGTCAATACCCTTCTCCCTTAATCTTGTTTGTAATGCCATTCAACTTAATCTTCTCCATTTTTGCTTCCGATATGCAATCTCTGCAGGTGTAGTAATTTAAAGGCAGTTGATGGGTAAAGGCTACAAGTTTTGGCCTGATCATGGTGATTGGTGTTTCCATTTCTAGGCTGCAGCCTTTTTTTTTTTTTTTTTTTTTTTGTAAGAAAGAATAGAAGGGCCATTCACCAAAGTTTTTGTAGAGGGCAATTTATTATGGTGTATATATGTATACGTGGTTAGGCTTGCTTTTGTGCTTGAGTCTACCCAAACCAGCTTGATTATTATAAATATCTTTCATTCTTTTTCACTCTTCATTTTAAAGGTACCTGAAATAGTAAGAAAAACAATTTAAATGATTATTTTCTTTTATCACTTTTTTTCTTTTTATAAAAATACATTTATAGAATTGTTTCCAAAAACAATTTTCATATATAATCCTAAAAATTAGTGTAAAATTAGAAAACGATTATTAGTTGTTTTCACAGTTTTCTTTCACTTTTAATTTGAAAACAATTTTTAAATTTTATGTTAAACACTTTTCAAATGTTAAAAATTTTAAAATACAACTCAAATATTTGAATTGTATTTAGTTTTTGAAAATTATTTTTGAATCACAAATCAAATAGGTGCTTAACTTTGTAACTTTCACTTTTCCGTTTTAGTTCATATTTATATACAAAGTTAAAAATAGCAAATATCATATAACAAGGGGTCAGGCTACTTGGCTACATGACTTAATTTTGTATTACAATTTCTTAACTTAGATTCGTTACAGTTTAATAGTTGTAAATTAGAAGTTAAATATAATTATTTCATGTATTGGTTTTAAATATCTCAATATAAGTCGATTGTTAAATTTTCTACATAACACGACCTTTTTATGATAAATGAAATTAAATGGTTGGAATAATATCATACATGATATTAATATATAATTTAATGAAAATTGAATATCCATTAAAATATGTGACATTATTCTTTATTATAATTACTCATATTGTATTGATTTTATTATAAGTAATTATTGCATTATATAACTGTTTATTGTTTAATTTATTAATATTGGTTGAAATTATATAAATATGTCATTTCACATGATACAATTTCTTTGACCCATAAATACATGTAGACCTATATATCATTTGGATGTAATTAACCGGGTTATTAAGCCGACCCATATATGACCCGCTAACCCACTTCTCACCCCGATGAAAATAGGTCAAGAAATAACATGCATTAATAGTCCCCGTCAGCAGCTCAAGCTACAAACATATAGTGGCCAAAGAGCGCGCCATGAATTTGCTATTCTGATGGCAACATTCGTTAAAGCTAAAGATCGTCTTTTATCTCGTTTCGAATCATTAACTTGGATTCGGGTCCCTCTCTATCTTCTTTTAAATAGATTTATTTAGTTATTTTTATTTAATTTCTTTCTTCTGTGTGAGGCATTTCTTCAAACACTTTATAATCATTAACGTTCTTGTCATTTATTGACAGAGATTCAACCATACTTTGCAGCCCCAGATCTCCCGTAAAGTGAGGTCTGATTCTGTAACTCACAAAGGTATGCATTTGTGTGAAAGCTTGTTTTTGTGTTTTAAGTTCCATTTGTGCAGCCATTGTAATAATTTTCTCGTTGTTTTCTATTTGAGAGACTTAATTTTGGTGGTTGTTTTGGTGTAGTTGACGTGTCAAATTGGAGACGAACGGATGCGAGGAAACTTGGGATATATAGTTCTGTGATTCCACAACCCTCGTGGATTGTCTTGAAAATTCTGAGATATGAAGGTGCATAACTTTTATTCACTAACTTTTTTTTTGAGTTTTAATGTTACTAGTCATGTTTAGTTCCATTGGATAAGCTTGTTGGTATTTTTTATTTTCTTATAACTTAGAAATCCCCAACCCACTTAGCATACTAGATTTTGAAACTGGGGTCCTTGATGTTATTTGTAGTTTATAGATTATGATTGATACGTGCTGTGTGATGTGTATGTGACCAGAAGAAATTATAATTTGGAAGCTTTCCATAGATGGAAAGCCAATTCTTAAAGGGTCATTTCTGCAATTAGGTTGGACTATTGGGTAAGCATGGTTTGTGGAAAGCTGGATGTGTTAAGCCAAAGTGTTTATCATTCTGTCAAATTTTGTATTGCTACTTGTTTTATTTAATTGCAGCTATAGGTTATATAATGCATTGTATTCCACAGTTATCTTATTCTGCATGAATTTTTGTTTTTTTATTTGTTCATGTTTGTTGATACCTTTTTCTCATATGATGCAGGTTTCCAGTCTTACTTAGTTGGTGGATGTGTGAGAGATTTACTTCTGAATAAAACACCCAAAGATTTTGATGTGATCACTACAGCTAACCTTCAACAGGTTCTGTGGCACTAGTTTAGTTTTCTCCTCTTGAATTCCTGTTTGTGGTTGATGAAAAGTGCTTGTGAATGAAAAGTTCAATTTGCTGGTTTTGCAATATCTTACTGCAGGTTCGGAAGCGATTTCATCGTTGTGAGATTGTTGGACGGCGGTTTCCTATATGCCGGGTGCATATTAAAGATTCTGTAATTGAGGTCAGCTAATATAGTAATATCAAATGCTTCTGTGCTTCTCTACATCGGGCTATAATCTTCCTGGTATAAATATTTTTTGGCTTTTAATCAAGTTTCCTATCTTGATTTTTATTCAGGTATCAAGTTTTGAGACAGTGGCACATAATGCTGAAGGAAAAGAAAAATTCCTTTTATCTCAAGCTCCTCGTGGCTGTGATGAAAAAGACTTAATTCGCTGGAGAAACAGCATGCACCGGGACTTCACAATTAACAGGCATGATTGTTCTCTCGTTCATTTTTTTTTGTGTTTTCCCTTAGGAGATGATTTTTCTACTTAATGGAGTCAAAGTTGGCCTGTGATCTGAGTGTGAGTTTGGTTTTTTAAGCCATTTCAATAAAAAATTGTTTTTGAACTTGTGAAAACAGTTTATTTTACGACCCTTTTCTGAATATAATCTACGATTACGCCAATGGAATGAAAGATTTGAGGTCCTTAAAGGTAGTTCTCTACTTTCATTAATAAAATCCCTATCCATTTTTCAAATTTGATTTCAATTTGTGCTGTATGAAGTTTGCTGAGATTGGCTTTTACTCATTTTGTTTGGTGGTCTTGTGGAATCAGCTACGAACATTAATACCTGCCTACTTGTCATTCAAAGAGGATTGTGGTGGGTATTTCTATCTTTTATAACTACCGTTTTTCAGCACCTTGAAATTTTGATTAAGTGGTTGATTATGGTATCAAAGTATGCCAACTGGAAAACTGTGTGCAATCCCTGTCGTACAGCTAGGATATTGAGGGGCTTAAGAATTGCAGCTCGTCTGGGCATGTCATTTTCAAAGGATACTGAGACTGCTATACGTAAGCTTTCATCATCTGTTGAGAGACTGGACAAGGTATTTATGATGAGTTGAAGAATACCATCATCCTACTTGAATTTCTTGTTTTAGATTATTAGGCTTTTGGTGGTGTTGTATCTTCCCATTTATTTTTTGTACACGAAGAGAGTTTTTACGTTCATATCGTCCTCTTTTTCACTCACCAAGTCTACTTTTTTAAGGTTTTATCTGTGGACCCATGGTCACTGCTCATTTGCTTGTCCGGTAAATGTCACTATGTTACAACTTTTTTCACTTTATTTGTTCAGTTCAGGATAATGATGGAAATGAACTACATGATGTCTTATGGAGCAGCTGAGCCTTCTATTTGTTTGCTTCAAAGATACAACCTTTTGAAGACTTTTCTTCCATTCCATGTTCGTAATTTCTTGGTTTTCTATATACCATGTTACATCACAGATTATTAGCTTGGATTCGACTTTATGTCTAACATGTGTTCTATTGCAGGCAGCATATCTTGATGAACAGGCTAGTGAAACACCTGCTGAGAATTCCGTGATGCTAATGGTAAGCTTTGTTTTGTGGAAAAAGCAAGTTCCTCAATATGCCATGACTGTATAAATGATGAAGACCCTCCTATCATGTGAAATATAGGGATCTATGACAAGCCTTATTTTGTGTTGCAGAATAGTAATGCTTGACCTTGATTTGTTTAGAACCACAGAATAGGATGGGAAAATATTGGAATTCTTGGGAGACTATTTTGTGGTGCAGAATAGTAATGCTTGTTCATAAAGATTTCAGGATTTGTTGTTCTTGAACAATAAGTTGGTTTATTCTAGAAATTGCAAGCAGTTTGGGAATTACAATATCTGTTAGGATAAAAAAATTATTTTTGAAATATCAGCTTCGATTAAATGTATTAGTCAGCTTAAAACTAAAATTGATATATTTGCTCGTAATTTATAAAGTTTGGTAGTAAAAAACACTAGGACATTCAGTGAGGAATGTGGGATGAGATCTGGTAGTTGTTTCTAGTATGATCTGATTTCATGTTACTACTATGACCGTTTTTGCATTGGAATAACTTATGTTTTCCTTTGGATTGTTTAACTCTTGCTTGTTTTGAGCTAAATCCAATGTTTAATTCTCTTAAGACAGTGGTATACTGATGGTTTTACTTCTGGGTGTTCTTTTTTTTTTTTTTTTTGGTGCAGAAAATGTTATCTAATCTGGATAAGCTGGTTTCTTGTGATCAGCCTGCTGATTGCCATTTGTGGTGAGCAACTGTTTGCTTTTTATTTATTCATAATGATGATATTTAATCACAAGTGTCATTGTAAAATTGGTGGATTGACTCTATTGAACCTTTTTTTTTTTTTTTTATAGTTTACGGAAGTTTACGATTCTCAGTTAAACTGATGCTGCAGATTATGAAGGACCCATCTCTAATAACTCAATAATTTGGGTTAGGCCATGGGTCTTCATGGGCTTGGGTAGAATCTCCTTGGAAAACGGTTGCCAAGGGAGGGTGCCAAGCCTTTATAACCACATGCCCACCCTTTTCCCTTTCAATGTGGGAACCTACAATTCCACCACGCTTTCGCAACCGACGTCCACGTCGGCCTCTTTACCCCTTGGATGCTACGCGGCAATGTTCTGAAACCCGGACTGGACCGGCGGTTGAACCGGTCCGACCGGGTTTCGCTTATATTTCCGGTTTAAAAATAGTAGAAACCGGATTTTTACATCAGATCGTTTCAAACCATAGTTGGACTGTCTTACTGTAGCAAACCGACGGTCTAACGGTATAACAAAGAAATTCGGTCCACATCAATCCCGTCCACTGCTTAAAAATATGAAAAAAAATAAAAAAAATTTAAAACCAAAACACAAAATCAAAACCCCCAATTTTTTAATACATTTCAATTTGCTTTTGCGAGCTATCTGCCACTTTTAAAATTTTGCTTTTTGCTTTTGCCTTTATCATTTTAGTTTGCTTTTTTTTTTTTTTTTTTTTTTTTCGGTTTGCTACTTTGCCATTCGCGATCTCTAGTCCAGTCCTCTCATCGCGCTGGATCTCCTTCAAGCTTCAGCTTCAGCAGTTCAGCCTTTAAGTCTTCGCTCTTCAAGTCCTTCAATCATCCAGATCTCCTCCTCTCAATCAACCTCTTCAGGCTCCACTCAGTCCTCCATTCCGGATCTCCTTCAAGCTTCAGTTTCAGCCTTCAAGTCTTCAAAAGATGCAGAAGAAGAAAAGGAAGAGGAGGTGAGAAAAGAGAAGAGAATATGGAAGAAAGTAAAGAAGAAAGGAAGAGCGGCGAGAAAGAGAGGGAAAAAAAAAAGATGAAGTAAAGAAGAAGAAAGGAAAGATGAGGTGACGGGTGAGAAGAAGAAGAGAAGATGAGGTGACATTTGAAAATATATAATATAAAGAAGAAAGAGAGGACGGAAAGAAAGAGAGTGGAAAAAAAATGAAGGAGAAAAGAAGAAAGAGAAAGATGAAATGGCATGATAGGAAATAAATATTAAAATATAATATTTGTGATATCACCAGTCGACGCCGTCAGGGACTGTTCAGACTGGAAACCGGTCATTGAGCGAGTCACCTTTCGGTCTGGGTTTCGGAACCTTGCTACGCGGATCCCCTTTCCCTCGGGCCTCCATGCCCTTTCTCAGGGTAGCAGCCCGGGTCCAAGGTAGCCTACCACGGGTCAGCCTGCCAGTGTGCGCTGCCACATAGGCGCAGGATCATGCTCTGATACAATGATAGGAACCCACTCCAAAACTCAACATTTGACTGGGGCATGGATCTTTCATGGGCTTGGGTAGAACTCTCTTTGGAAAACCGGCTTGCCAAGGGAGGGTGCCCAAGCCTTATAAACCACATGCCCACCCTTTTCCTTTCAATGTAGGATCCTAACAGATTATAATCTATCTGTAGTAACTCAGTGCAGATAACGGAAACAACCGCTGGTGTTAAGGTGTCAGAACCAGTGGCTTTGTGGAACGATAGGATCATTCTGATGTTCAGTTGTTGTGTTGTTTATGTTCTGAAATAAACTGGGATTTGTTAATCTATTTGGACAGTGGTCATACAATTTTTTTTTTTTTTTTTTTTTTCATTTTTGCAATCAAGATTCTGTGTTTGGGATGCAATTGATGATCTTATTTTGTGTTTTGTATAGGGTAGGACTGCTGGCATTTCACCAGGCATTAGTCAGTAACCCCCAAGATGCTTTTGTGATCTGGGTTTTTGCTTCTGTTCTGTATAATGGAAAATGGGCGGAAGGTGTTAAATTTGCAAGAGAACATGCAAAAGATCAAGTTAATTTTGCTCCTGAGATCTCTGGGTTTTCTGAAATTGAATCAGATCACAAACTTGCAGCAAAAGTTACTGAGTTAGCATCTTTAGTTCAACATTGTGTCAATGGCTTGACTTTTAATGAGACACACTCTTACATGGTAAGTGCATTTAAATTTGGTGTAATATATATTGCTGATAACTTCATTGACTTTGCATTGTATAACAATTTTCTGATAAGTAGTACTTTGTCCAGCGTGTTTGTGTTCATCTGAATCTAGTATCAGATGAAGCCTCGTATCACTTTTGAATTAATAGTCACTGTTGAACAGAGTACCTGATTTCCAAAGAGATACTTCAGTGTGCCTTGTTGAGTTTTCTTTAGTAGTATACGAAGACAAAATCATCAAGCATATGTGTGATCATCCTTCTCTTCTATATTTCATGGTAATGCCTTTACATAGACAGGCATGTTATGTTATGAACTGTGTAAGTACATAAGTGTATGTTTGCTATGTGAAAAAACAGTACACAGAGATCTAATGGATCATATTTGAAGGCAAATTGACTATTTGGCGTACTATAGTGCAGACCTTACCTAAGTCTATTCTTACTTACCTGGCCTCAAACCTGAGTTTAAACTTTTCTTGTCTAGTATTCTGCAATCTGGCCTAGATAAGCATTGTGGTAACTTAGAATTAGGGCAGCTTAAGTAGTTCTTCTTTTCCCATTTTGGCAGTTAACATGATAGAAAGTTTAGCATTGCAGCCGTGGTTGTAATTCTGGGACAACCAATTGATTATGTCTCTGTGTACCATATACATTTTTTCTTAATTTCTGTTTTCTTTGGAATAAATACCCATATATTACTCGTGCAGTTTTAGATATTTGTTTACGAATAAAAGCATGTGGCTATCCAGGTGTTTGTTCCAAAGAATGTTGGGCAAGGTGTTGGTCAAATTTTTGATGTACTGGTGAATTCTATTGAATCTTACAACAACGGAAGAAAGAGTTTCATGATTGACTATTACTTGCTTGGAAAGGGACATATACCTGAGACGAGATTTGTTCTTGGCAAAATTATTTTGAAAACCATTAGTGGTGGCCTTGTTGGAGGAGAGAGGGAGAAAAAATCTAAGTCGCTGTTGGACTCATTTGTGGAAAGTTGCCACCCGAGGCCCTGTGATTTGACAGAGAATGAATTCTTGAGCAAGAAATATAGAGAGCGTAGTCTAGCAATATCTGACTCAGAATCAAATATGGAGAGAACCAAAAAGCTGAAGTTATCTGGGAAGAAAAGCAGACTTTTTGAGCAGGAGCTAAATGTGAACAAGCAGGACAAAGTTTCAAAAGATGAGAGCCATCAGAAAGGTAAGGAACTCCGGAATTTGGTTAGGGCTTGGCTATTAGCTAAAGAAGAAACAAAGATGACACAAGAAAACATATCAGAGAAGAACAATTGCCATTCATCATTAGAGGAGGTGATCTCTAAGAAGATCAATAAACACAAGAATGTAGTTAAGGAGAAGAACAGCAGTCGGCTTCCACTGTCTAATCTGAAGATTCTTGGAAATATTAATTTGAAAACCATTATTGGTGGGCTGCTTGGAGGAGAGAGGGAGGTTGATGAGGAGAAGAAAACTAAGTCGCTGTTGGACTCAGTTGAGAAAAGTTGCCACCAGAAGCCCTGTGATTTGACAAAGAATACAATTTTGAGCAAGAAAAATAGAAACCATAGTCTAGCAATTCCCTACTCGGAATCAAATCTAGAGAAAACCAAAAAGCAGAAGTTATCTGGGAAGAAGCGCAGAGTTTCTGACCAGGAGCTAAATATGAACAAGCAGGACGAGGTTTCAAAAGAGGGGAGCCACCAGAAAGGTAAGGAACACCAGAATTTGGTTGAGACTTGCCAATTAGCTAAAGAAGAAACAAAGATGACACCAAAAAACATATCAGGGAAGAAAGATTGCCATTCATCATTAGAGGAGGTAATCTCTAAGAAGATCAATAAATGCAAGAACGTAGCTAAGGAGAAGAACAGCAGTCAAACCAAAAAGACGAAGTCATCTGGGAAGAAGCGCAGAGTTTCTGAGCAGGAGCTAAATATGAACAAGCAGGATGAGGTTTCAAAAGAGGAGAGCCACCAGAAAGGTAAGAAACACCGGAATTTGGTTGACACTTGCCAATTAGCTAAAAAAGAAACAAAGATGACACAAGAAAACGTTTCAGAGAAGAAAGATTGCCATTCAGCATTAGAGGAGGTGATCTCTAAGAAGATCAATAAACGCAAGAACGTAGTTAAGGAGAAGAACAGCAGTGAAACCAAAAAGACGAAGTCATCTGGGAAGAAGAGCAGAGTTTCTGAGCAGGACGCCGTAAATATGAACAAGCAGGACAAGAAGCAAGCAGTGAAACCAAAAAGACGAAGTCATCTGGGAAGAAGAGCAGAGTTTCTGAGCAGGAGCTAAATGTGAACAAGCAGGACAAGAGCAGCAGTGAAACCAAAAAGACGAAGTCATCTGGGAAGAAGAGAGCAGAGTTTCTGAGCAGGAGCTAAATGTGAACAAGCAGGAGAGGTTTCAAAAGAGGATAGCCACAGAAAGGTAAGGAACTCCAGAATTTTGTTGAGACTCGCCTATTAGGTAAAGAAGAAAGAAGGATGACACAAGAAAACATATCGGAGAAGAAAGATTGCATTCATCATTGGAGGAGTTTATCTCTGAGAAGAAAAATAAACACAAGAATGTAGTTAAGGAGAAGAAGAGCAGTCGGCCTCCACTGTCTAGTCTCTTCAGATAGAATAACTGCATTTGTCTTTTGTACAATATATGTTAGAGTCCTCGACACAGTTTACCTCATGATTGACAACTGACTGGAAATACCTTCTGCCTTAATCTTGTTTGAAATGTAATGCCCGTGTGATCCATTCAATTATTTAACTTAATCTTTATTTTTGTTCCGATATGCAATCTCTGCAGGTGTAGTAATTTAAAGGCAGTTGATGGGTGAAGGTACAATTTTGGCATGATCATGGTGTCTCCATTTCTAGGCTGCTGCATTTTTGTTGTAAAGTAAGTGTAAAAGAGCCATTCACCAAAGTTTTGTAGAGATAGTTTCCATAATTAGCAGTTGCACCCTTCTGGAACTAACAATCCTCAAGTATTTATTAGGCGGCAATTTTCGACAACAATAGTTTAGTTGAGGCAGTAAAGGGGGAGCATCAGAAAAGAGTGTAGTGTATTTGAGTTATTGAATTGTTGATGTGGTTATTGTTGTAGTAGAAAGTTATTAAACAATAGTGTGGATATTGGGATTATTTCCTTTAACATTCTTAATAGCTTATTAATTTTATTTAGAGTTAAAGGACAGAGAATTCTACGTTTGAATGTCATGTAATGAAAAAATACTACTTGAAGTTAAAACTAGAATCATATAGGTAGAGTTGATAAATATATATTTTCTACTATTTATTTAAAACTAAAAAGTAGGTGAATTTTTATTATTTTAAAAATATTGAAAAGATTTTTGTTATTACGGTTTGATTTCATTGGCTCTATTATTAATTGAAAGTTAGATGAGGGTATTTTGGATCATGGTTTTAAAACCTGGCTTAGCTGGTTGAACCAGTTTGACCGGGAATCGGTGGTTAGATCGGCTCGGTTCATATAAAAAACTGTAATCAGCAATTGACCCGTTTTAGATCGTGGCTGGATCGGTTTTTTATGACAAACTATTGGTCCAATTGGTATAATTCGGGTCTGACAGTAAAAAGAAATAGATTAATAATTAAAATAATAAAATTAAAACCTTTTTCAGCTTTCACCCTTCCCCATTTCATTCAAATAACCAGCACCAGTAGAAAAGGAAAAATAAAAAAACCATTACCAAACAACGATATCAACTTCTTCGATCTTGGAGTTCTTTGATTCCGATTTCATTCATCAAAATCTTCAACAATCTTCAACTTCTGCCTTGAACGACTTCTGAATCTCTGATTTCTAGCTTCAGCTTTGATAGCTTCTTCTTCTTTGATCTTCGATTTTCGGCAGTTCCCACAAAGTTTGTGTATTTCATTGTTCTAACTTGTTATCGCTCTTTGTTTGCTGTGAGATTGTTTGATATTAAAGAAGTGGGTTTGAAACCTGATATTAGAAGAGGTGATTGTTTGTGTGAGAGTGGTTGTGCTTGAGGATTGAAGTGTGTAAAAATGGCTGGTTTTATTGTTTGTGTGCAGTGTGCAAAAGGGACTGCAGTGTGCGTTTTCACACACTGTTTTTGCCTGACAGTGCATTGCTGCGCTGCCATAAATATTAGTCTGCGTCGAACTAGAGGGTTATAGCCAAATGCGCCACGGTGCCTTTCTATGTGTGCGCATTTTAGCACATCTAGCACGTAGCTTGGTAACTTCTTTTGAATTTCTGGCTTTTTTTTTTCCTTTTTTTTTGGACCCCCACTTCAAGCCAGTCTACTTTACTTAAAGCTGTTTCATATACATGCTTCTCTTCGAGTGAAAGTACAAGAGCAGATTTATTTTCCATATCAATTCTAATGGTTGCACTAATCTTGTACTTGCTTCATCGATAGCAGTGGCATGATATGCAACGACTATAACGGATAATACAGGCCGGCAATCTCAGATTACTTACAGCTTTTACCTTCAAGAGTGCCATTATGTGTATTTACTCTTATTCGCATCCGATAGCCTTACTATACTTTCGATAATCTTTCGAGCTATGTATGAGTCGTTCTGCATTAAACAATAGCCATCTATATCTCCGATGATTCTGTCTGAAAGACATAAGTCTTAAGGCCTGTTCAAGCCCATGAGGCTCCTAAGTGCAAATCTAATCGGAATTGTAGGATTTTATCTTCCCCCATGACCTATCATCGGGTGCCTCAGTGGGATGATGCGGACACATTCAGATAAATTAAAAAATTAGAAGCTCGACCTAGCTATGATTGAACTATTGAATGAAATCCCCCCCGTGATGTGGCACCTCTAGCTGCATTTTCAGCCTCCACAATGACCTTCCCATTACTGAACTTACAGCATAGCTTATTCATGCGATTAAAGATCGAGCAATCCATCTGTATATGGCTGCTAATTGGCTAGCGCCTTCAGGGAGGCCTCATTCATTTGCATCCTTTGAACTCTGATATCTCTTCTCCCAGCATCTAGCTCCTCTCTGCAGACGCAATGACTCTCGCAGATCCTATCCTTTAATTATGATCTCTTGTAGCACGTAGGTTATATGACTCTTTTGATTTCCTCATGATCAGAGCTGTTTACAATAACTCCTATGGTGGATAACGCCCAATTCGGCCCTTACATTGTTCACCGTATATACGATGGCTATTTCATAGGCAAAGGCGATTATTTGGTAATTTATTTATAAAAAGTAGAATAATCTTATATCCCCATGCAGCTCCTCACGTGGTATGTCAGTACCATCGGACAGGCTAACAAACGTCGATGCTGAGCTGCTAATGACTATATCATAATCTCGGAAATTATATGTTATTTTTACAGGGAAATCTGACGAAGCGCTATCTGCAACTTGGTTGCTGCCATGTCGTAGCTCTCAAAACGATTGCGACTCTTGCGATGTGCTGCCTTCAATGATATCTTCGAATCCAGCATCTTAGTTTAATCCATCAGCAGCTGAGACCTGATATGTTTTCATCTCTCAAGATAGTCATGAATTGACACATGAAAACAGGTATTATATTGGTCCAGGAGCAATGGCGGCAAGTCAAACAGTATCTCCAGTCGCAGATGATGCCGTCCTAAAAAAACATAGTCACTCGTCTCTGTAATTCTCGAATCTAATATATGCATCTAGAAATAAAAATGCATTCATACATTACTAACAAATAGCCTCTACAATATGAGGGCCTAGCGCCCATGATTACGGAGAACGCTAGGATATCTTAGTCCTGATGGTCATATGTTCATGATCAACCCTCCCCCCCCCCCCCCTTTTTTTTTAGCCTAAAAAGGCTGCATCCAACCCAATGCCTACAGGGTACAGTATTAACCAACTTCTCATGGAAGAAATTGCCCCAGCCTCTTTTGTCTTCGGTTATGGAAAGTGCCTCAATTGTGTGTTCCCAGGTATAACAGTCGTAGATTCTTGTGCGTAGTAACATTTGTACTAATGGCCTTATACTCTATATCTCCGATTGCCAAGCGTCTACTTTCACTTGAATGCAAACCGATACCGATCACATAGCGACATTACTTGACCAGCAGTTTTTTATCTGGAATAGATATCCGGCCCTCATTATAATAATACTGCCCCCTTCAATCACGATATGGTCATTATAATTTCCGTATACCGCTAACAATTCTCTGGTTCAGCAAACTAAAGAGGAAAAAAAAAAAAAAAAAAAAAAAAAAAAGGAATCAGAGTATTTTCATGTAAAACTCAGCAACATTATCAACGATAGAGGGAGAATTGTATCCGCTCAGCTACTGGTTAAAAGCTCAATGAAATTTTTAGGCCAAAGGGTGATCATTGTCAAATAATTATTCCACGTTTTGATTTCATTAGAAGAGTAAAAGTGACAAAGATGATGCCAAACATTACACCACTTCACGTCATTAATTATAATATTTTTTCATTTTGTTTTTTTGGTTGATATGTCTTGAAATTATGCTTTGTAAATTGACTTAAAATTAATATATATCCATATGAAATCCAAAAGGGCAATACTAAACTGTTATACTTACAAACAAATTTCACAAACTTTTTCGTAAACTTTACTGACAGCTTTCAGTTTCGTAAACTCATTCTCGTAACTTTTACATGATTAGCTTTCAGTTTTGTGCAGTTGCGAACATAAGATCAAAATTTCCATATATCGATAAAGTCGTGCATGCATTTATTCAACCGACAAACTTAAACCACTTCTACTAAATCAAAAGGTAATTCCGTTTTGAATGTCTTAATCGGCAAGCTCAAATGCACTTCTTTCAAAATCAGTCAAGTCAATTGGAAAGGAAGAAAAAAATAAAGAGATTAGAGATGGAATGGTAATTACTGTCTGAAAAGTGGGGAAGTCTTATGCTCCGTTTACGTTATTATTTTATCCATATTCTAATCCTACTTCCAAAATATTTATTTATTTTATTATTTAATAAATATTAATATATTTTTTAATTATTTTTAGTCCATTAAGTTTATAATTTCATTAAATACCCCTAAAAAATTTAAAAATTAACAAAAACATCTATCCATCCATACTTGTCAGATTCAGACAACCACCGTGCAGTGGTAACCAGAATCTATCACAACAGCTTAACTATATACGATACGAGAATAGCCTGTAATTCACCAATTTGACATTTTAGGCTAGCTCACAGTGGATCTGGCTGGAAAAAAAAAGCCAGATTAACTATAGATTGGCCTTTTTCGATCGGATCCATGGTAGATCTAACAGAAAAAGGTCATATCGATGCCTCTACCACTAGATCCGATCGGTCTATACGTAATGCCATTTTTGGCCAGATTCCGATGGTGGTGGCCGAAATCTGACACTATGGATGGGTGGGGTGTTTTTGTTATTTTACAAAAATTTTATATATTAGGGTATTAGTTAAATTAGCAAACTTATAGTTTTTTGTTAATTTTTAAATTTTACCTCGTAATACTCTCCCTATTCAACTACTCAATATCATTCCCAAAATCTTATCCAAAATCTTATCCAAAATGACCAAAACAAATGGACCTTTAGCTATTGCTCGGGGGAGAAGGCCGAAGCCTCCTCGGCTAACCTTCTTTGACACAGCTTGGAGATGCAAGCCATCCTCTTCCCCTATTCATACGGTTCTTACTGACAACTCTGCTAACTCACCTAATAAAGAGAG